CACAATGTGGCATTTTCATTAGGCAAGACTTGCTTTTTTACATTTCACACCAGAATACGTTACTCTTCTTGAATAAAATGACCTGGTTACTAAAGAAACCATCCATGGAGGAAGTGTTTAATAAGCGAATTTTATTTAAATAAATTCTCCAGCAGGGATTGGGGAATTCGTTGCCTTTACTTAGAAGAAGGCTGTGTAAGTAGTTATATGTCAGATTTGTGCAGGTTAGCAACATTTCCTTATTGGAAACATTATCTTTCCACATCACAGTTCCCAAAAAGACTTTTAAAGTCTCAGAAGTCTGTATCTCCTTTGGCTTGCTTTTCTCTTGATTCCCCCCAGGCTTTATTAATGGTTCGCTTCATATCATCATCTCCATCTTCATAAATTTTCTTTAGAACATTCATTAATCCCTCACTAGGATCTGTTTCAGTGTCTTAGGAGGGCTTTCCTTTCTCTTTGCATTCTTTTTCAACCTGAGTCAGGTAGTCCCACTGTGTTTGTGTGTTTTCTGCTTTCTTTCTACATAAGATAAGAACTGTATCTGTCTTGACCTTTTTTGAACTGCCTTCCACAGAGATGGGTTTCAAGAGATTGTTCACAATTATGGAGTAACTCTTTCCATTTAGGTTCTTTACCAAAAGATCAAATGACCTCTCTGTGAAATTCACCTGCACACTCTCAGCAGGCACTTGATGAACTCCAGGTAAGGTAATGTAGATTTTCACAAACTTATCTGAGTGGTCCCATCCGTAATTACTGATTTTCACTGTTTATCCTGTTGTAATAGGAGCAACGACAGCAGCTGGCTTCTCATTTTCTGTAAGTTCTGCTTTCCTCAGTGATTTCTGCTGCATCTCATTCTTCATTTCTGTCTCAATCTTGGATTTTTCAGCTGTCAGGGCATCACGTACTCTTTTCCTAGTGGCTTTTTCCAGCAGCACCTTCACCTCTTCTAGATCTTTCTGGAGCAGTGACTCGAAAACCTCTGCTCAGTTCCACCACTCCTCTGAGCTCCAGGATCTGCCTCTGCTTGGGTGTCTGATGAGCACATCAAATTCAGCTCGTCTCCAGGTCTGTGCTCTGTGCTTTCTTTCAGTCTGGAATGGTTTTCCTCAAGATCATCACATAGCTTTTTCTGTCTTCCTTTTTTGCCAGCACTTAAAAACACCTTAGAATTTCCCATTTTTAACAGAAATTCAATGCTGCGTCTCTCCAGTTGTATCCTATAATTGTCCTTCCATGTACGATGTAGAAGAAAACTGACTCCTTGCACTGCTTCCATCAGGAGTTATTGGGTACATCAGATTCCCAAATCAAGGGGAAAAAAGTGAAGAACATTGTATCTTTGCAATTAAACTTTCAAAACATTTTATTCTGGACTTCCCTAGTGGTACAGCAGTTTAGACTTTGCCTTCCAATGCAGTAGGTGCAGGTTCAGTCCCTGGTAGGGGGGACTAAGATCCCAGGCCTCACAATTTTCATGACAGGACCATTCATGACCTTGTAACTGCCAAGCTCAGTAGATACTTTCTGGATAATTTGATGGTTTTACTTTTTATATAAAATTTCTCATTGTTTTCATTGCTACATGGGTCAAAAAAAAGATGCCTGTAGCCTGGGTTCGGGGCACAAACTAATTTTACAATCTCTGATTAATATTTTTTTAATACATGAATTTTAAGAGGAGCTGACTAATCTGGCTTTAAGTCGCTCAGTCGTGTCCAACTCTTTGCAACCCCATGGACTGTAGCCTACCAGGCTCCTCCGTCCGTGGAATTTCCCAGGCAAGAGTATTGGAGTGGGTTGCCATTTCCTTCTCCAGACTTGATGCTTTTGAACTGTGGTGTTGGAGAAGACTCTTGAGAGTCCCGTGGACAACAAGAAGATCCAACCAGTCCATCCTAAAGGAGATCAGTCCTGAATATTCATTGGAAGGACTGATGTTGAAGCTGAAACTCCAGTACTTTGGCCACCTGATGCGAAGAACTGACTCATTTGAAAAGACCCTGATGCTGAGAAAGACTGAAAGCAGGAGGAGAAGGGGACGACAGAGGATGAGATGGTTGGATGGCATCACCGACTCAATGGACATGAGGTTGAGTAAACTCTGGGAGTTGCTGATAGACAGGGAGGCCTGGCGTGCTGCAGTCTGTGAGGTCGCAGAGTCGGACACGACTGAGGGACTGAATTGAAGTGAACTGGGGCTACCATGAGTGTCTGGGATGGTTCTAGCTGTTCACTCTGATAGTCACTTAAAACCTGGACTTGGGACTTCCCTGCTAGTCCATTGGTTAAGACTCCATGCTGCCCATGCAGGGGGCCTGGGTTCAATCCCTGGCCAGGGAACTAGATCCCGCATGCTGCAACTAAGACCCAGTGCAGCCAAATAAGTCATATATATATAAAACCAAAACCCATGGATGCAATTGTGGCCCAATAATATTAGTTAATAAGAACACAAATAAGAATAGCTGAAACTTACTGAGCATTTACTATTCTGTCAGGGACAGTTTTAAGCACTTTGTTTGCTTAACAATTTTATTAGGTTTTTAACGAAGTTTAGATGGTTTAACATTGATGGAGGAACTGAGAAGTGAGGGCACTGGCTCAGCCCAGCTGACATCCGTCAGCGTTTGCTCTCACCAGGCTCTTTCAAACACTTTGATATATTAACTCGCTTTATCTTCTTCATTTTATGGAAAAGTATCACGAGGCAGAGAGATGTTTTAGGATGACCAATTGTCCTGTTTGTCTGGGACAGAGAGGTTTCCCAGGTTTCTGGGATTTTGAGTGCTAAAACCAGGGTGGTTCCAGGCAGACTCGGCCAGCAGGACCCCTAGGTGTTAATAAGTTGCCCAAAGTCACACAGTTCGCAAGTGTCAGAGCCTGTCTTCCAACTCAGGTGACTTGAGACCCAGATGCTGCCTCTGTCAGGCTCTCGCACCTGAGCCTGCATCTGAAGTGGCTGGAGGTCTGGTTGGAACTCAGATTAGCTTCAGAGCAGCTGAAAACCTGCTTTTCTAACAAGATCCCAGGTGGTACTGATGCCGCTGATCTGTGACCCGGCATGGAGGCCCGCCGCGGTCAGCTGCCTCGCCTCCAGCATGTCCTTTGTCGCCTTGTTGAGAATACGTTGGTGGGGAAGTGCCGTAGCGCCTGGCCGGCTGGTGGGAGAAGCTGCAGCTGAATGGAAACACAGTGTCTGGGGCGTTAGAGGCTCACCAGAGCGTTGGATTGCCAGCCTCAGTCGCCACAGAGGTGGCTCCCATATCGCTGCCGTGGGGTAGGCTGTGCACTTCCTTGTCTGGATGGCAGTCTACCCAGATGGGCTTTGCAACAGAGCCTGGAGAACTGTTTCTGCCCACACAAGCCCCCAGCCGACTCGCACTCTATCAGGGATCCCGTGACCAACCACTGTCTTTAAAAAAAAAAAATTGAAGGGAAATTTGCATAACATAAAATTAACCAAGTCAGTGACACCAAATACATCTACAATGTTCTGTAGCCACTAGCTCTCTCTAAATTCCGAAACATTTTTATCATTTCAAAATAAAACCCACACCCTCATTTTCCCGTTTCTCTTGGCATCCACCAGTCTGCATCTCTGGATTTATCCTTTTCTGACTAGTTCAGATAAATGGAATCATGCAATACGTGATCTTTTGTGACTGGCTTCTTTCACTTAAAATAGTGTGTTCAAGGTTTATCCGTCTGGTAGCCTGTATTAGTACTTCATTCCTTTTTCTAAAAAAAAAATATTTGTTGGGCTGCACCAGGTCTTAGCTGTGGCATGCAGGGTCTTTTAGTGGCAGCATGTGGGGTCTAGTTCCCTGATTAGGGATCAAACCTGCGTCCCCTGCATTGGAGAACAGAGTCTTAGCCACTAGACCACCCCTAGTGGGAAGTCCCCTTCATTCCTTTTAATGGTTGAATAATATTCCATTGCATGTGTACACTGCTATTTAAACACTGATGGACTTCTGGGTTGTTTCTAACTTTTGGCTATTGTGAATAATGCTGCTGTGAAATTTGTGTTTAAGAATTGTTTTGAGAACTTGTTTTCATGTCTCTTCGGTGCATTCCTAGGAGTTAAATTGTTGGGTCATATGATAGTGGTGCTTAACTTCGTGAGGAATTGCCTCACGGTTTTCCACTGTGACCACACCACTTTACTTTTCCACCAGCAACATACGAGGGCCCCAACGAGTCCCCGCCCGCATCAACCCTCGTTACTGTCTGTTCTATTGCTAACAGCCTCTCTAATGGATGTGAAGTGGTGTTTCATTTTGGCTTCTATTTGGATTGCCTAATGGCCACTGGTGCTGAACATCTTATCACGTGCTTGTGGGCCGTTTGTACATCTTCTTTGGAGAACTGTCTATTCAAACCCTTTGCCCGTTTAAAAAACCACTGACTTTTTGATAAGCTCCTTTTCTGTCACGACTTGCCAGAGCAGTTTCTGTGTTTCTGTTGGTTGCCACCAAGAACTCCGACTGATCTGCTTCTCCGAGCTTCCTGAGCCAAGGCCATACTTGTCCTTCCAACCAGCAGACTGACTCGACACTTCACAATCCGGCCACGCGGCATTCTGGACACGGTAGTACCTCCTGGTCTTGCACCTGCTGGGACTCACCCTCTCACCACTCTAGGAACAGGGAAGCCATGGGGCCATAACGGCCCAAGTTCAGGTAATCACAAGGAAAGAAGAGCCGCGGAGAAGCAGTTGTAAGAATAAAGGGGGAGGCGTGAACAGAAACCCAATGCCGACAGAGGCAGAGGTGAGAGGGGCTAGAAGTCAGGGGTGCGAGTGAGGCCCCTAAGTCTGAGCGTTATTCAGGACCGAGGGTCTGAAAACCTCCGTAGGGTGGCCTGGGTCCTCTGGGTGAGCAGGGAGCAGGGCAGGTGGGAGGAGGCCGGTCTGCCCAGAACCATTCTGGGTTGTCTGAATCCCCCATTCACAATAAGCATGTGCAAGTCTGGCTCATCCATAATTTAGTTTAATCCTTTGTAGGGTGCACCATGGGCGGAGGAGCCTCCATCTGCCCCAGAGGGTCCAGCCTGGGTGGACCGGAGTAGTCTCTTCTCCCTGCTGGTCCGGACTCCTGTTTCAGGGCGTGATTAAGCCCCATCTTCCCGATCAAAAGCAGGCCGGGGAGTGGGGGCACCCAGGCTCCCCTCCTCCTCCACCAGACTCTGTCGGCCTCGCTTGTACCCCGCCCGACGTCCTGCAAGGTCTGAGACCTCTTTGGTTGTTGGGCCGCAGTTCCAGCCAGGCCCTGGTTCTACACAGGAGGGCAGGCGGGCCAGCGGGGCTGTGCACCCAGGCGCTGGCTGGGGAGGGGCACGGCTGAATCTCAGGGCCCTGGGTCCCAGCGGGAGATATGCTCGCGAGCTGGAAAAGAAGAGGAAGAACAAGGGTTGGTGACTGTCCTGGGATGGGACCCTGCCACACCAGGTCCAGAAGTGGCCTCCACGGGATCCTCAAGGAGCTCCAGATTCCCCAGCAGGGGCTGCGAGGCCGGGCGAGGCTTCATCTCCGCCCTCATAGTTCACGGCACTCGAGGGAATCAGGGCGCACCCAGCAGGGCCCCGTGTGACGGCTTTAGTGGCCGGAGGCAAGGGACCTTGAGAAATTCCTGGCCGGGTGTAGTTCTGGTCTGTGTGGACAGGGGCTGTCTCCCGCTCCAGGCTCCAGGGCCCTGTAGGCCCAGGATAAGCAGGATTGGCTCAGGCCCGGTGTGCAAACGCTGCAGGGCTGTTACCCAGACACCCCCTGAGACAGGGGGGCCTTGGGGCCTGGGGTGTGCAGACACGCAAGGCTGTCACCCCCACACCCCCAGGGACAGAGGGGCCTCAGGCCTGGGGTGTGCAGACACGCGGGCCTGTCACCCCCACACCCCCGGGGACAGGGGGGCCTCAGGCCTGGGGTGTGTAGACACGCAGACCTGTCACCCCCACACCCCCGGGGACAGGGGGGCCTCAGGCCTGGGGTGTGTAGACACGCAGACCTGTCACCCTGACATCCCTGGGGACAGGGGAGCCTCGGGCCTGGGGTGTGCAGACACGCAGGCCTGTCACCCGCATACCCCCAGGGACAGGGGCCAGGGCAGGGAGCCACGGGAAGGCCCTCACCAAACTGGCAGATGTAGCGGTTGCGGGTTTTGCAGCGCTGGTCATTCCAGTTGAAGGCGGCCGACGCCTGCAGCTCCACACAATTGCCAAACCTGCGGGCGGAGGTGGTGAGTGCTAGGTGGAGGAGGGAGGCGGGAGGCGGGGAGAGGCTCCAAGCCTCCTCCCAGGGGCCACCTGCGCCCGTCCGGGGCCTCCTGAGGCCCCACCCCACACTCACAGGGGCCTCTGGGAGTCAGACCCCCCTCCCGGTCTCCACACCTGCTCCTCCAGCCGCTCCAAGTCCTCCCTTCTCAGGGGGCGCCTCGCCTGCTGCCACGGCCCACTCCCAGGCCCCGCAGTGGCGGGGGGCAGACAGGCTGCGTCCTTCCTGGCCAAGGCCGTCTAGGGGTGGGCCCAGGCCTGGCATGGCTGCCCTCAGGGAGGTCAAAGAGAGGTAGGGGCGCTCGGGAATCTCGGTGGGCACACAGCCTGACAGCCTCCACCCCCGCCCCGGGCACCCCCTGACTGCCTCCACTCCCCCAGGCACCCCTGACCCCCTCNCCCACTCTGGGCACCCCTGACCCCCTCCACCCCCACCCCGCGCACCCCCTGACTGCTTCCTCCCCTGCCCCGGGCATCCTCGGGCTTTGAAGGCCAGGTGGTGCAGGGTGGCTAGTGGACAGATGAGTGTGCGGGCTGATGCTGGGGTTGGCCAGCGGAGGGCAGCATCAGTGTATTGATGTAGGCGGAGGGGGCGCTGGGGGAACGGTAGGGTAAGTAATAGGGAGATGGAGAGGCAGCTGAGGGGATGGTGGGGATGGTGGGGGGTCGTAGCCTTCTGGGGTCCCCGTCTTTTACGTGAGCCCCTGGGTCAGGGACGTGCCTCGTTTAGCACCGGGCCCACACCCAGCCGTGCCTGCACCTCCGGCACGGGGACCCCAGGGAGGCCCAGGCCCCCAGGGTGCTCAGGCAGGCAGCAGGCGGGTGGGGGTCTGGTCGTGTCCGAGGGCTCAGCACGCAGGCCCTGGTGGGAAGGTGCGCAGTGGACGACTCACCCCTGGTTGTCCGGCTGCCCGAAGGCGAAGCTGGTGAAGGACTGCTGCTCCCCCGTGGTCCAGCGGAAGGAGTCCTTGGCAGTCTTGTAGGTGAGCCCTGGGCCACAGCAGCCAAGGTTGGCCCCGCACCCAAGGTCCCCAGACCCCGCCTGCTCCCTGGGCTGAGGGCCTGCCTGGAGCCTGCTGCCCGATGCCCCGTGGGCCCCCGGCCCTGAGACCCCTTCCCAGCACTTCCGGCTCCTCTCTGTCAGCTCTCTCCCCGGGGAGGGGATGCATCAGCCTGACTGATGGCCGGGCTCTGGGTTACCAGATCCCTGGAGGAGCATGGGTGTCCCAGCCCCACGAGCACCCCACGCACACACCCACACACACACACACGCCCCACGTCAGCCAGGCACTCACCGATCCAGAAGTTCCTGGTCTCAAAGTCACTGTCGGTCACCTCGTTGGCGGTCTCCAGGCGGCTCAGGAAGAAGGCCAGGATGTCCTGCACTTTCTGGCTCTCAATCTCGGCGAGCACCCCGCCCTTGCCCTGTAACCCCACTCTGGGTCACACTGGCCCCAGAGCTCAGGCCAGCCCCTCCTGCCCCTCCCGCCGCCCCCCGTGGCCACGGACGTCAAAGCTACGTGCCGGCCAGGCTGTCCTCAGCCACCCATGCCCGCTGAAGCCTCCCGCCTTCCTCTCCCTGCCCACCTCTCCTCTGGCCTGGGAAGGGTTTCACCTGCTGTGTCCTAAATACATCGGGATTGCTTGCCAGCATTAGTAAGTTGAGAGGTTGAAGGAATGCATCTCTTAATCCAGGGTCCCTCGGTTAAGACCCCTGCTTGGGCCCAGGGGGCGGCCGCCGGGAAGGCAGGGACCAGCCGTTACCTGGCATTTCATCTTGGCGCCGTAGTAGGTGTCCGCCTCCGAGGACACCGTGAAGCAGTCTCCGTCAATCCTCAGATCGCAGGTGTGGAAGGGAAAGCGCACCTTGGCTGGCGGGAGGGGAGCCTGACTTTGTGCGGGACCTTGGAGCAGCCACCCTCCCTGGTCTGCAGGGTGTTAAGCTCAGGGTGGCCCTTCCCCGGCCACCTGCTCCAAGTTGGAGCTGGGGGTGGGGGGTGGTCAGTGGTATGCTGGCACATGTGTAACAACCAGCTATCTTTCTCAAAAAAGATAATCTGCGATTGCGACAGTGCTGTTTCTGGGGTGTAAAGACCCCACCCCCCACGGCCAAGTTCACTCAGGGAGTGGGCGGGGTGCACTCCATGGGCATCTGTGGGCTGGTCTGGGCGGGACCCAGCCCCTCACCGAGGGGTCCAGGGCGGGCCTGGCGGTCGGGGGCTGTGCGGCGGGACTCACTGGCGCACTGGGCTCCCCCGAAGCCAACGTCACAGACGCAGGAACACTCCTCTTCCCGGAACCGGCCGTGCACGCACTGCACGCTGCACCGCACTGCCAGAATGGGGGTGCGGGGGATGTGCACGGCTGCCAACCCCAGCAAGAACACCCGCCCCGGGCTTCTCTGTGCTCTTTGGCATCTTTGAGCTGGGGGAGGAGCTGGGAAAGGAATCCAGCCAGGATCCTCAGCTGCCCTCTCTGCACCCTCCCAGAGCCTACGGGCCAGATCTGGCTCCCCTGACAGTCGGTGCTCAGTGGATGCCTACTGGACGGGGCCATGCTGTGCGCGGTCACTCACCGGATGCCCGACCCGGCTCCAGGTGCCCTCACCTTGACAGTATCTGCCCGTGTAGCCGGGGGGGCAGCGGCAGTGGCAGGTGCTGACGTTGAGCTGGCCGTGGTTCCGACAGCTCATGCGACACGGGTTCCTGGGGACCTCTGGTCAGGCGCAAAGGAAACGCTGAGCGGGTCTCCTCCGGGCAGGCCAGGCCGGGGCCTCCCCGGGTGCCGAGGGCCAGGGCTTCCGGGACAGCCCTCCGCCCTCCTCTGCGTCACCCAAGCAGGCCGGCTGGTGGGGGCACTTACCACAGAGCCCGCCTGCATGGTCCCAGGCTTTAAAGCAGCCCGAGACACTGGCCGTACAGAGCGAACACCAGGCGCCCTTCTTGTAGGGGACGATGGTCTTCCCGTTGACCTCCCAGTTCCCTCTGAGAAAGCAAGCAGCGGAGGGCTGCGAGGACCTGGCCTTGGCCGCGGCAGGGACAGGCCCTGCTGCCTGCCCGCCAGGCCCCGTCAGTTCCTCCCTGCCCCGCCAGGGAGTCAGGGAACTGGGCGAGACAGGGAGATTTCCCAGGAGAGAAAAGATAACCTCCAAACGAACACTGGGCAGATTCCCTGAATGCAGGCTGGTGCTTCCAGGAAGGGGTGACTGAGCAGAAGTCATGTTCTGCATGGCCAGAATCCTGGGTGTTGTGTTCTCCCACCAGGGGTGCAGACCCAGGAGTAAAGGCCTGTGGGTGGGTGTGTGGGTGTCTCACCCTGGCTGAGAGCACCCCTGCCCTGCAGCCCAGCAGGAGACGGCAGGGCCCTGCCATGCAGGGGGCTTACCCGGGAGAGTAGGCGCAGACGAAGGCTTCCAGCTCACCCTGGGCCCCAGAGCAGAGCTGCCGCCCACAGCCCAGCTGGCTCGAGGTGGCCCACACGAGCTGCAGGAGACACGGTGGCTCAGACACCCCATCGCGGGCCCCCCTCCACTCCCAGTCTGGGACCTGCAGCCTGCAGGATNTGCCGCCCACAGCCCAGCTGGCTCGAGGTGGCCCACACGAGCTGCAGGAGACACGGTGGCTCAGACACCCCATCGCGGGCCCCCCTCCACTCCCAGTCTGGGACCTGCAGCCTGCAGGATGCTCCCCCAGGCAGGGCGTGTGCTTTTGCCCCAAACAAGGCAGATAAACAGTTTTGTCACCTCCCTGGGGACCCCAGGAGCAGAGCAGCTGTGCTGGGCAGGACGACAAGGATGGGTGGGAATAGTCTAGAAAGACCTCCTGGGTGGGCAGCTGAGGGTCCGCAGATACCTGAAGGGAGGGGAGACTGGATGGCTGGAGGAGAGTAGCAACAGGAAGACCTGGACATCAAGGGCCTTGTGATGGTTGCAAAAATGGCCCCAACGCTTCACGTCTCCTCTCCCCACAGCCCGTTCTTTACAAAATGTGGTTTTGCATCAAAAGGCGGAGTCTTCCACACCTTGAAAATGGCTGGCCCTGTGGCTTGTGTTGCTCAACACAATGCCAGAGAAATGACAGTCTAGCCATTTCAAACCTAGGTCTCAGGAGGCCCTGCAGTTTCCACTCATTCTCTCTCATGCTCAGCCACCATGTGAGCAAGCCTGCTGAAGGCTTAAAAACCTTAGCGGGCAGAGATGACTCCATTGAGGCCACTGTGGGCAGTCAGCTCCTACCCAACCCAACAGCTGGTCGCAGCTGCAAGAGTGAGCGCCACCAAGACCAGAGGAAACTCGCAACCGGGCCCAACCCAAACTGCCAACCTGCAAAATCACAGGACGCTAAATGTTGGGATAGTGTGTCAGGCAGCAATAGCTAAGTGATACAGGTTTTTAATACTATTCAAAACTTAAGTTTAATGTATTAGAATCAGTGACCACTCGGAAATAACACAAATGGTCAATACCCAAGAATAGCCAAGCAAACTCCGGGAGCTACTAAAAATGACCAACATGAGGCCGGGAGATATGCCCATGTAATCATATATATGTCTCCAACAAGTAGAGAATGTGCATTCTTTTTAAGAGTGCATGGAATTTTGCAGACATTGATCCTTCACTAAACAGCAAAGTGAAAGTGAAAGTTGCTCAGTCCTGTCTGACTCTTTGTGACCCCATGGACTATACAGTCCATAGAATTCTCCAGGCCAGAATACTGCAGTGGATAGCCTTTCCCTTCTCCAGGGGATCTTCCCAACCCAGGAACTGAACCTAGGTCTCCCGCATTGCAGGTGGATTCTTTAGCAGCTAAGCCATGGGGAAGCCCAAAAATACTGCAGTGGGTAGCCTATCCCTTCTCCAGCAGATGTCCCCAACCCGGGAATCAAACCAGGGTCTCCTGCCTTGCAGGTGGATTCTTTACCAACTGAGCTCTCAGGGAAGCCTAACAGCTGCAAAGCAAGATTCAGTGACTACCAGATAACCAATGTCTCACAGATCACATTCTATGAATTCAACGCAATAAAATCTAAAGGAAGTAATTTAGAAGTAAGTAAAGAAGAAAACCTGGCTTCCCTGGTGGCTCAGTGGTAAAGAATCTTCCTGCCAATGTAGAAGACTTGGGTTTGATCCCTGGGTCGGGACGATCCCCTGGAGAAGGCAAATGGCAACCCACTCCAGTATTTTTGCCTTGGAAATCCCATGGACAGAGGAGCCTGGCAGGCCCCAGTCCATGGGGCTGCAAAAGAGTCAGACATGACTTAGCGACTAAACAACAAAGAAGAAAACCTAGTTAGGAAATTTAAGTATACACTTCAAAACCAAAGACGATATTATCACTGAGGGACTTCCCTGGTGGTCCAGTGGCTTGTCAATCAGAATAGATGCTGGGCTGAAGCAGGATCCTAGAGACCCACTACTGTGACAAATACACCCGCTCTGATTCTAGTATAGGAGAAATCCTAGGTGTCCCAGGGAAGAGGTACCTTCTAGGAACATAGGATAACAACTGTTTACTAATACACAAGTATTTTAGTGTTTGATTAACTATTATAACAGTTGTACATAGATGAATTACAGTCCTGCAAGTAGGAAGGCAGGGAAGAGTTAACATTTAAAAATATATATTAATGTTGGTATTGTGATTATTATTTAAAAAGCTGTTTTTAGTTGTGGCATGTGGGATCTAGTTCCCTGACCAAGGATTGAACCCGGGTCCCTTACATTGATAGAGTATGGAATGAAAAAGTTATCTTTTAGACATATATGCTTATTTATGGATAAAATTATAAGTCTAAAATTTGCTTAAAAATAATATGGGAGGAAAGGGAAATAGGTAAGGCTATAGATGAAACAAAATGAGCTATGACAAGAATATACAATGGAGAAAAGACAGTCTATTCAATAAGTGGTGCTGGGAAACTGGACGACATATGTGAAAAAATAATATTAGAACATGACTTTAAAATCCTTAACAAACTTAGATCGGAAAGAAATGTCTGTAAAGGCTACTTATTAAGTTCATATGAAAAATTAGTAGAAAGAATCAAGAATAGCCAGGCAACTTTTGAACAATAACAATAATATGGGAGATTTTCCTGTCAAAAAACTTATGAAGCCATAATAATTAAAGCACATATGTACAGAGTAATTAAAAAAAAAAGCAACAGAAAGAAGAGAGAACTCAGCAGATATGGGAGCTTGGTATATGACTGAGATGGCATTAGAGTCTGTGGGGGAAAGAGTCAATACTTAATACAGAAGTAAAAAAAAAAACCAATAAAATGCAATTCTACTAATGACTTCAATACGAAAAAAGGAAAACATTTAAACTTTGGAAGAAAAGAAAGAATATCTTCCTGATGTCAGAGTTGAATAGGATTTCTTAAACATAATACAACAAATGGATGAGCCGTAATGAAAAACACGTGAAGTTTGATTACATTAATATTAAAATTCTCTGAAGGTTTCTTATAAAAAGTCACATAAACAAAGAGAAAATACAAGCCGTATGTTAGAAAAAAGTATCTGCAACCAATATGACCAACAAAAGCATAAAGAATATAGAAAAGATGCTTATAAATTATTAAGGGAAGATGAAATTAACCAGCAATGAAGCAGAACAGAAAAGAGGCTCAGTCTCACAGGTAATCAGAGAAATGGACATTAAAAACAGAATGAGGTAGTGTTCCACAGCATCAAGTTGGCAAAAATTAAGGAGCTGACAGTACGGGGAAGTGAGAACTGGTCTGTGGACAGGAGTAGAGTAGGGGACACCACTTTGACAACAGGTAGCAAGGTTGTAGGTGCGTGTTCCCTCTGACCCAGCCACTCCCCTTGTAAGTGTATCCTAGGGTGGGAGTTCCCAGTCTCCAAGATCTAGTACCTGATGATCTGAAGTGAAGCTGATGTAATAATAACAGACATAAAGCTCACAATAAATGTAATGCATTTCAATCATCTGGAAACCATCTCCCTCAACTCCAGTCTGTGGAAAAACTGTCTTTTACAAAACCTGTCTTTGATGCCAAAAAGGTTGGGGACTGCTATCTTAGAGGAACTCTGGACCCATGTGTGCAAGAGGACCTGAGCTGGGATTTATGTATTGTGGTCTGACTTGGAAGAGTTAAAAAAAAAAGTAACCCCAGATGCCCCAAAATTGTAGTTTATTCATAGTGAATCTCAATTGCTTGCTCAAATCAATGGAAGTAAATCTTACAAATGTGATCTGAAGTGATAAACACAAATGGCAAAAGGAAGTGTACATTTAGGTACATTTAGAGAGCACTTAGGTAGGATTTAGTAACATACAACCCACTTGCATAAGGAGAAAAGGCATCCAAACCCTTCCACGTGTAGCAAAGATATTCCGACATTCTTGGGGGAATTCCCTGTAGTCCAGTGGTTAGGACTTGGTGCTTTCAGTGTGGGGGACAGGGTTCCATCCCTGGTCAGGGAATTGCTTGAGATTTTGCCTGTGTTTTTCAGGGCTGGAACTTGGTACCCAAACGACACCAGTTATAGAGAAGATACTAATGATTTTGTGGAGGGGAAAGAAAAAGGAAACATGCTTGGGGAAGGGGGTGATCCACCTGGACTCCTGGAGGTCAGGAAGTTTACCTCTGGGGAGGGACAGAGGTGAGAGGAAGAGGAGGGCTTTTGCTTAGCTTTACTTTTTTAAAGAGATGAAAAACATAGTTAACACTGTCTAAATCTAGGTAGTGGGTAAGAAAGTGCAAAGCGCTCAGTTGTGTCCGACTCTGTGCGACCCCATCCACTCCAGTATTCTGTCCTGGAGAATTCCATGAAGTGTAGAGTGGGTAAGGAGTCCGTTATTTGATTTAGTTTTGAAATATTTCACGTTTAAAGCTGAAAAAAGGACAACTAACGGGAGGAAAAGCGACCACCAGTTTCAGGACCAGCTGTAGACCCTCCGAGCAGCCCAGCAGGGCAGGGGCCCAGGGCTGGAAGCCCGGCCTCACCTGGGTGTAGCGGGCGCAGGTGGCGTTGGGGGCGCACTCGGCCGCCGAGTGGCTGTACTGCCGCCCCTCGGAGAACCACAGGCCCACCACGTGCACGAAGGCCGCGGAGCCCGCGGGCAGCAGCTGCGTGTTCCAGCCCACGTGCCGGGCGGCCCGGGGGACGGAGGCCGGGCTCGGCGCGGGGGCACCGCAGAGGGCCGCCCGGGCCTGGGCCTGCCGGGCCAGGCTGTCGCTCCAGTCCTGGGGGCGGGGGGCACACACGGCAACGTCAGTAGGGGCCCCCGGCCAGGCGCGACTGACCCGCCCCCACCGCAGCACGACCAGAGGCGGTGCTCCCGTGAACAGAGCGCTCGAGCAGGGATCGCGCTTGGCGGCTCGAGCGCTCTGAGCTGGTTTCGCCCGCTTCCTCGGGGCCAGGGAAAGGCAGGCAGGGCCTGCAGGGGGCGCTCCAGGCTGTGGGAAAGACACCTGCCCATCTGGTCCCCCCACCCCAGAGCCCGGCTCGCCCAGCGCTGAGAGCCTCCGGTGGTGGCACCCTCAGGCCCTGCCCAGGACTCCAGCACACTAAGGCACCGGGTGCTCCGGGGGGCCAGTGCTAGCCCAGGTGATGGGGTGGGCCTCTGCGGTAATCTCCGGAATGTGAGCTCTGCCGTGCCCAAGGCTTCCGAGCCGGTTCTGTGCTAGGTGAACCTGGCCGTGGTCATTTTCAGAAAGGCTCCCTCTTGGCTTCCCTTCTGTGATGTAAAAAATTGCTCTTATTCCCTAATTCTGGTTTTGGACTGTGTAGGGGCTCCAGCTGGAAACCAAACCCGAGAGGTTGTAAGAGGTCTCCAGGGCCTCCGCCCTTTGGTCTCAGCAGGCAGAGCTCTCTGGGGTGGACCCGATCAGCTCTCCCCAACCAGGCGTCCCTGCCCCCATCCACCAGCCCCCTCCTCTGAAACGGGGGCCTCAGCAACCAGGATGACATGTGTCACTCAGTCGTCACGCCCTGGTCCAACCCCACTGCCTCATTCCAGCTGTGTGACCTCCAGCCGTCTCCTAATCGCCATGAGACTCAACATACTCTTCTGTAAAATGGAATAGTAAGGTGGGAGCTCCCTGGTTGCCTAGTGGTTAGGGTTCTGGGTTTTCAGGGGGCCCCCGGTTCAGTCCCTGGTGGGAGAACTGAGGTCCCACAAGCCATTTGGAAGAGCCAAAAAAAGGGGGGTTGGGTGGATAATAAGGTCCCAGAGGATAAGATGGTGTGAGGACTGCATGGCTGCAGGGAGCCAAGTGCCGCACCTAGGGCCTGGCCCCGGCAGACGGTGGTTGTCATTTCACTGCTGATGGGGGCTGCACGGGGCCCCGCAGGGCCTCAGCCTCCCCTGGGGTGCCCAGGGCCGGAGCTGTGCGTTGACAGAGGCTGAGCCGTGGGGCTCCACTTGCGTTTTTAATGAGCTGCTCTTTTCTTAGACTCAGGCACAAGGGCCGTGGGAAGTGCAGGGCCTGACCAGAGCAGCCGGCACTAGGGCTGCGCGCGTGGGAGACCGGAGCCAGGACCTGGGCCCCCGAGGAGGGGCTGGGCACATGCAGAGGCGGGAAGGGGAGAGGCGACGCCCCCGCCCCGCCCCCACCTCCTGGGAAACTGACCCCGAGCGCTCAAGGTCGCCGCAGCCGCGCCGCCTCGGAGGAGTTCGTGGGAAGCAGCCATGGGGAACCTGGCCGGCCCCACGCCGGTCCCCCCTCGCTCCCTGGACCGTTACGTGGGCGGGGGCAGCCGGGGCCGTACTGGGGGGCCCCAGGGTGACACATCCGACCCCGCAGTCCCGAGGGAGTGCTGGGAAACCCGGCACCCCCTCCCTGGCCCGGGTGAAGGGGCCCCTCCTGGTCGCCTGGATAGACTGCTGGAGAAGCGGGTTGGGCCTCACACAAGCCCCCCACCCCCGCCCAGCGGGCTGCCTCTCCCGCCCGGACGAGCCTCCCGTCCCGCTTGGACGCCTTTGTGACTCTGCGCGTTCCCGGAGGAGGGGACCCCACTCCATCCATGTCTTCTGGTCTCCCGGGCAACGGGAAGGGATGCAGGGAAAAGTCTGTCTTTTCGAGAGGGGACCAGGCACGGCCGGCCCGCCGTGGGCCAGGGGCGGCCGCCCCTCCCGCCCTGTCGGTGGAAGGCGCCTGGCCGCAGCGCGGCCTCCCAGCCCGTCGCGGTCGCCCCTCCGCCCGGTGAGCCGGGAGGCTACTCACCATTCTCTGCATGTTGGCCGCAGGCGGGTGGACCCGGCTTCGCAGGCGGTTGTGCAGGGAGAGGAGGAGGAAGCTCTCCTTCTTGCTCAGGACTGGGATGGGATACAAGGTCAGGCCACCTGGGCTATAGCCCCTGGGTCACCGCGGCGCGATGAGGGGACAACTCTGCACTTAGGGAGCAAAACCTGAGACGGGGCGGGCGGCGGCGGTGGGCACATGGGGGGACCGGAGCCAGGGGATGGGGAGACGGAGAGAGGCGGAGAAAGGAGGGGAACTGAGACAGATAGGTGTGGGTGTAAAGGAGGCTGAGAGCTGGGGTGGGATGACCGAGGGGATGCGGTCCTGGGCCGGGTGTGAGGAGGAGCCCGGGCTGGGCTCCCCACAGCCCCTCTGCCTGGGGCTCATCTCAGCCAGAGTCTTCCCGGCGGCTCGCAGGGGACCTCACCACCCCACCACCCCTCTCAGGCCCCTGGACTGTTCCAGGGTGGATCTTTCAACTGCACCAGCCTGCCCTGGGCTCAGGCCTGGGAACTGGCTCCCGTAAGGCCCCTGGGACCCTCAGAGCATCTCCACCTTTCCCTCACCCCCTGGCCCCCTTACCTCCAGGCATTGGAACCCGCTGCTCCTGCAGCTGGAGTGGTTGCACCCCTGTCCAGGTTGTGCCAAGGAGAGCCAGGAGCAAGGGCAGGAGGCCAGGCCAGTGGCCTCCAGGCCTGGGCAAGGGCTCCAGCCGCAGCATGGGCCTGGTGGTGGCTCTGGGCTCGGCCTGGCTCAGCAGTCCAGCTCGCTTCCCAGACTGGACGGAGCTATTCCCGATCTCGAGGAGTCACCCGGGGCTGGCAGACAAAGGGGAGGCTGGCGAGTAATCGGTGTCCGGACAGCCCCCGTCGTCAGTGCTGGCATGGAAGGAGACAGACAGCTCCCATCCCGGGGCGCCCTCCCTCCCCCGGTCGTGGGCCTGCCCGCCTGCCTGCCCGCCAACAGCCAGTCAACCAACCTACTGAGTGGTTCGCAGTGACCCCGTGGCCCCTGCTAATCATTGCAGGATTATTGGAGCCCTCGGGGAGCCCTCAGAGACACTGCTGATTGGCCCGCAGACATTCCAGGGCTGCAGATTAACGAATAATAGCAATGCCCAGGCTGGTATAGTGTCCTCCAGGCTCATCAGCAGCTTCTCTTCCCAGCCCCTGGCCCAGGGAGGCTGGGGCCTCGAGCCCTGAGGGCGGGCAGGAACTGGGCAAGACCCCAGGGGAGTTCTTTCTTTTCTTGGGAAGCTCGTCCCAACCCCCAGCCATGAATTAAACATAAGCAGGTGGTAACTGCACACCAGTCAGGTGCCACCAGTGGGTGGGGGCACCGGGGCGGTGGGTTTGTAGGGGAGTGGGCGGGGGCTGCTCCGTGGGTGCCTTAGGGCGGTCAGTCTGAGCGGTGTGGGGGCTGGGCCCCAGCCCTGGTGCCCCCCACCCACGTGACTGCAGGCCTGGAGGGGGAAAGCAGAGGGGAGCACGTGATGCTCCTGGCTGGCTGCAGTCCTCTGGGAACAAGTCAGCCTCTGGGCCCACAGGCAGGAAATGAAAGTGCTCCTAGAAAATAAAAGTGTGTCCCACCGGCCACAGCCAAAAGCCCACATTCCCCTTGGGCAGACCAAAAGTTATTCAGCCATTCCCAGGGGACAGGCCTGAGAGCCAGGTGCTTCCTGCTTATGGAGTTTGTGTGACCCCTGAACCCTAGACCAGGCTAAGTGTCACTTCCTCGGAAGCTTTCCTGAGATGCCAGTGGGCCTGGCTTTTGCCGCTGGGGGTGGGGGCGGGAACATGATGGAACGTGGATACCTTTGGGGGCATGGAGACAGGGTCAGGCACAGGGACCCCAAAGCCAGCCTGGGGTTGGGTGTCCCCCTAGATGTCTCAGGGCTTGGGGCGTTTCGTCTCCCTCAGACAGATGACCAGACAACCTCAAGGTTACCCTCTCTGGATCCCAGCAATGCTTAGTAAACAGGGATCTTTTTCTATAGAGTTTACAAAGCAGCTTCAAACATGTGAGTTCACTTGGTTGTTGCAACAGCCCCTGGCAGGAAAGACGAGGTGCTCCATCTGTAGTTGGGGAAGCTGGGGTCAGTGTCTCTCAGGGCCTGGCCCCAGGTCACCCAGCGAGCACAGGGTACCCATGGCTGATGGAGAGGCTCTGTCTTCACAACTACCAGACCCCGGTGCCGACCTGCCTTAGTTCCCATCTCAACCCTGTGAATTCAATTCCCACAGCCCTGCTCTGCTCTGGGCAACAAAAGACCCAATCCCTGCTTCTGGGCTTTGAAGATAAGCATGGCTAGTTTTCCTGTAATATAATGCAGGGCAGCAGCGCAGGTGGGAGGAAAATACATCTGGGGCCTGGAGTGGAGCGACTTTTGAGCAGCCCTGGTCACTGTAAGAGCAGGCCAGGGCGAGCCCTGCCTGCAGGAGCCAGAAGGGGAGAAGCAGAGCAGAGCAAACGCCAGACCAGCCGTCAGAACTGGGCTCCGACCAAGGAGCCCTGTGCGACCCTGGGATCGTCACTGCCACCCCGGGTCTCAGGGGCCAGCGGTGTGAAGCAGGGTGACAGCCTCACTGGACTCCCTGCCTGGGGCATTGCACCTTGGTGTACGGAATAGTTCCTCCTAGGTCCAGACCTTTTCCAGGAGCCTGCTGAGTGGCTGGGATGGGTTTTGAGAATGGGCTTGCATTCCCCTTCTTGTAAAAAGTGTTTCCCAATAAGCAACTTCTATTCTTTTAAAACATTAATTATTTATATATTTGCTTTTTAATTTCGGCTTCTCTGGGTCTTTGCTAATGTGTACAGGCTTTAGTCGCGGTGAGCAGGGGCCACTCTCTAGTTGCAGTGCAAGGGCTTTGTTTGCAATGCCTCCTCTTGTTGCAGAGCATGGGCTCTAGGTGCCCAGGCTTCAGTAGCTGTGGCGCACAGGCTTGATTACCCCACAGCATGTGGAACCTTCCTGGACCAGGGATCCAACCCATGCACCCTGCATTGGCATGGAGGTTCTTAACCCCTGGACCACCAGGGAAGTCTGAAATCTTTCTTCTGATTTCTATCACCATAGAAATCACTATTTATTCTATTGCCATTTATTATCACCCTTCTATCACCATTTATTTGTAATGTGTACCATACTTATTCAGTCATATCCAACTCTCTGCAACCCCATGGACTGTTGCCCACTAGGGTCCTCTGTCCATGGGATTTCCCAGGCAAGAGTAGTGGAGTGGGTTGCCATTTCCTGCTCCAGGGGATCATCCCAACCCAGGGATCAAACCTGCATCTCTTGCATCTCCTGCATTGGCAGATTCTTTACCACTAGCGCCACCTGGGAAGCCCCCCCAAAATTTCATGTAAATGGACTCAGAATATACATGCTCGAGGCCTGGACTCCTTTGCTCTGTGAAATGTCTGTGAGATTCATCTATGTTGTTACCTGTATCAGTAGATTGTTTTCACTGTTGCTTTAATTGATGACAGTGTTTCACTCTATTTTCATTCTACTATTGATCGATATTAGGTTGTTTTAAGCTTTTGTTTGTTATGAATAAAGCTACTATACATATTGTCTAGTTTAAAATTTTCATTTAATAAACACCTGTAAAAGAGAGAAAAGACAAAGTTGTCCAAAGCATGAAGGGAAGAGGGGACATCACCTCAACGGATCCTACAGAAATCAGAAAGGTCAAGAGAGCATTAAGAGCAACTTTATGTCAACAAAACAGACAACGTAAGTACCATGGGTAAATTTCTAGAAAGATAAATTACCAAAATTGAGTCAGGAAGAAATAGAAAACCTAAAAAAAAAGAAATAGAAAATCTAAGTACATCCATCATAGCAAAAGAAATTGGATGGAAAAATCTTCCCACAAAGAAAAGCTTAAGTGCAAATAACTTTACTGGGGAATTCTGTTAATATTTAAAGGAGAAATAATACCAATCATGTACAAACATTTCCAGAAAGCAGAAGAGGAAGGTTTTCCAACTCACCTTACAAGATAAATATTATCCTGCTACCAAAGCCAAAGACATCTCAAGAAAACTATAGATCAAGATCACTCATGAATACAAACAGAAAAATCCTCAATGAAATATTATAAAAATCTAGCATTGTATAAAAGGATTAACATCATGACCAGATAGGATTTATTGTAGGAATACAAGGTTGGTTTAAAATGGAAGTCAACTAATGTATTGTATTAACAGAAGGACTTCCCAGGTATCGCAGAGGTAAAGAATCCACCTGCCCGTATAGGAGTGAGAGATGCAGGTTTGCTCCCTGGGTCGGGAAGATCCTCTGCAGTAGGAAACGGCAGCCCACTCCAGGATTCTTGCCTGTGAAACTCCATGGACAAAGGAGCCTGGTGGGCCACAGCCCACGGGGTCGCAAAGAATCAGACGTTAGAAAGACTGAGCACGCACACCCTATAATGACAAAACAAGGATGAAACTAGATCCTTTCAAAGGCACAGAAAGAGCATTTGATAAAATTCCAAACCTATGCTGTATGAAGATTCTCAACAGACTAGGAATAGAAAGGAAATTTCTTATCTTGATAAAGGGCCCCAGTTATGGGCTTATGTGATTTGCACCCCCCCAAATTTATATCTTGAAATACTAATCCTGGTACTTCAAGATGTAACTGCATTTGGAGATAGAGTTTTTAAAGAGGTAAATAAAGTTAAAGGAGTCACTGGGTGGGTCCCAACTCAATATGACGAGTGGTCCTATAAGAGGGGGCGGTTAGGATACACATACCCAGAGGGAGGACCCCTTGAAGACATAGAAAATGGCCATCCGTAAGCCGAGGAGAGGTTTCCCTGGTGGCTCAGTGGCAAAGACCCCGCCTGCAGTGCAGGAGATGCAGGTTCAGTCCCTGGGTTGGGAAGGTCCCCTGGAGAAGGAAATGGCAACCCACTCCAGGATTCTTGCCTGGAGAATCCCATGGAGGAGCGTGGTGGGCTGCACTACATGGGGTCGTGAAAGGGTCAGACACGACTCAGCAACTAAACAACAGCAATAAGCCCAGGAGAGGCCTCCAAATAAACCAACCCCGCTGATGTCTTGGTCTTGGCTTTCTAGCCTCAATGTAAAAGCCTCAATGAAAGCTCAATGTATCAGAAATACATTTCTGATGTTTAAGCCACTCAGTCTGTGGTACCTTGTTATGGCAACCTAGCAAATTCATACAGCCCCTATGAAAACACTACAGCTAACATTGTATTTAATGGTGAAAGACTAAATGTGTTCCTCAGTTAAGAGCAGAAATAAGGCAAGGATGTCTACTCTCACCACTTCCACTCAACACTATGCTGCTGAATGTGCAATTAGTGCAAGAAAAACAAAGGTATCCAGATTGGAAAGGAAGAGGTAAAATGGTCTGCAAATGATAGGATGCTGTATGTAGAAAATCCTAGTCAATTTTTTTTAAACTTACTAGGACAAAGTTCTCAGGACACAAAATAAATATATAAAAATCAATTGTATTTGAATAAACTACAAATAATACAAAAATGAAGTTGACAAAATATTTCCATTCACAATAGCATAAAAAGTATAGACCTAAATGCATAAGACTAAAAAGCATTACTGAGAGAAATGAAAGATCTAAATAGCTGGAGAGACATTTCACATTTATGGATTAAATAACTCAATATGTTAAGATACCAGTTATTTCCAGATGCATCTACTGATTCAATGCAGTTCCTA